CATTAACTTCTAAAAGAAGTTATAGAGAAACTCAAATCAGCAACGCGAATAATAGAATTTTTTATTTTACTTTTTAATTTTACCATTAAAAATTCTTCATTTAAAGATGAAGATTGAATTCATACTTATCTGTGTGCAACAGTATTCACGTTTGCTATTACAGCTTATAATGTTGTAATATTGGGTTATCAGGTTGAACAAGTATCATGTTATTACCATTTCATTGGTTCCCACTTAATTATCAAAGTAAATTTTCCTGATAACCACAGTCTTGTCTCAACAGTGGAAGCTGAGTAATATTAAACTGAAATTCATATAACTGGGTACTAAGGGACCAGAAACTAGGAATAATAAGTTGGAAACAAAAAGGGAAACAAATAAAAGCACAAGACAGACAATATACTAACAGAATAAAACAGAAACACACATTTCACAGCTTCCCGTCGCGTCGTTGTAGTGTTGTGCTGTGTGTTGTGCTTTCATGTATGCTCTCTTGTGTTCCCTCTCTCGTCTGCCTTTCCTCCTGTGTCAATTTCATGTACAAGTTCACGTCTCACGGTGTTTCCTGTTTTATTTTGACTGTCTCATGTCCACGTTCTGTGTTAGTTTTTCCCAGTGTAGCTCTAGTTAAGTTTTGCCTTTGCATCTCACTGCTTGTTATTTACTCCAGCCTAATAAACAGCTCGATTTTTGTTTAAGCCCTGCCCTGTCTTGTGTGTCTGCATGTGGGTCTGTTAAAAGAAATATAAGGTCTGCCACTGCATCCCCTTTGACACAGTCTTATACACCACTGCCTGCATAGATGTTAAAAGTAAAATGATTCAGGGACTTAATGACTTAATAACAGTGTGGTCTGTCATTAAGTCTGTCAGTATAGTAACACAGTACTAACACTGGCAGCTGGAGCCCCCCAAAAAACGTTATGTCCTTGGGAGAATATTATTGCAGAGAGGAGTAGGAGGTCTTGTCACTGTGGACAAAATATATTCAAGTTGGTAATGCATGCTCAACAAACACATAAGATATATACTGACAATAGTCAGCATTGTTTTATTTTATTTTTTTAAAACCACACAGTTCCTCAATGAAATACTGTAATTAATCTAGTCTTTTTCTTATAATACTCAAGTGATATTATTGCATAGAAATATTGTGTTAGCCCACCGAGTGGCTGCAGCTCTAAATATGAGTCATGTGCATGATTCAAAGAGACTTTCTGTTCTGTTCCTTTCACTGTACGGATTTCTCCTGGGTCATAAACCTCCATGGAATTCAATCCACATCTGTTCGCCCCTTCTTCATTTTTATGCTTGAAACCTCTTCATCCTTGTACTTTAGTACCTGATCTTTATGTCTTTGGGATGTTTAACTGTTACATGTTACTGCATCGTCTCACCGTTTCTCTGTGCCCACAGGAAGTAGCATGTGTGCTCTCAAATGTTTAACAACCATCACGTAAGCCTGCTTCCTGCTTGTGAAACATTAGCTAGACTGCCAACAAAAAGTCATCCACCCTTTGTCAACCATTTCTCATCTCATTAACCTTCAAGCATAACACATAAGGTATCATATTCATACTCCCTCACTCCAACGCAGTGTGTTTGTGTGTTGTGTTTGTGCATGCATAGCACTGCAGCTGCCGTCATGAGGAGATAGCAGTTCCCCCAGGGGTTGTCAGTGACCTTGTGCCTCTCAGTGAGCTTCTTTGTCATATTGAAACAGAGCAATATCTCCCAGCGGTGCCATCTCATTCACGAACGGGCACAACTCTTCATTACTCGTGCTTCACATGTCACAAAGACAGCACTCTTCCACCGGTGGCCTAGACGAATATTGTTCTGTGTCACAGATCTAATTTGTCTTGATCTTAGCAATTGCTGTGATCTCTGCTGCGCTTTGTTCTTTGTATCAAATCGTTTGACTCAGAGTGACAAAGTTCTGATAGCGAGTCTGTAAAGTAACACACATGTACTGTCAGGGTTTGCCAGGGTAAACCGTGGGGATGTGGGAAGGAGGACCCAAGATGTAGGACTCTGCAATTCAAACAGTGCGTTTATTTACAGTGTGGTTAACAATAGATGCACAATTTATCCCCGTTGCTCCCCAAGACTCCCGTGTGTGTTTCCCACTGAGATGTCCGTGTTCGTGTTCCCCGCTGTTGTGTTTCTGCACACCCTGTGCGTGCTGTCCTTCCTCTCCACGTTTCTCCTGCAGGAAAACAATAGAAGCAGCCATTAAACACTGACCCCCGCGGGCACACACGATCTGCGGCCAGTCCCCTAGCCACCAGGCCTGAAGGCGCCTGTAAACAGGTGTTCGCAGAAACACCTGCATCCATACACACACACCCACACACACACATATCTGCAAATAGGGAGAAGAGGGACAGCACTACCAAAAAATACATAAAATAAAAGATAAGTCCATAACTGCTCAGGGACCCTGGGTCGCTCAGACCCAGGGTCCCTGACATGTACAACAGTAACTACTACAGAAAAACTCTCATATAGATATTTATTCCATTAGCTTGAAAACTCTGCAATATGACACAGACAAACATTGAGACAACACAGTACTGTGACTTAATCTATATCCTAGTGGACTGTGTTGCATCATGAACCCCTGTTGAACAAGACTTCTACACCTGATTCGTGGCCTTTTCCACTGAACATCTCAGTGTAAAGGACCGGCAAAACCTGCTGCTTTAACAGGGACCTTTAATTGCCAAATTCTGAATAGTTCATCCTTGAATAATTTCCAGATTTCAAGAAATTTCCCTCAGGACCTCAGGACATATCGCACTGTAATGGCGATCTGAAGTCATTCCTCTTCAGATAAGTGGTTCGTTGACTCATGAGGCAGCTCTCTGGGGATGATCTCTCAGTTCAACAAGCAGTGAGTACAGTGACGGTAAATTATGTTACGTTTCCAAGGATTTTTAAGCACACTGACTTCAAAGGTCCTTTTCAGTGCAAAGGTTTGATCTAACCTGACAGCACTAAATCTGAAGTCTGTCATTGAATTACAAACCAAGAAGCACCAATTTTTTATACAGCTTCACAACGCATGTGGACCTGCTCCCACTTCACCTGTCTTAGCTGAGCCTGGTCCTGGCAAGGGCTTAAATGTTTGATTTATGAGTCAGGGTGCGAGCTAATCAATATCTATGTAGTACAGCACAGTCTCTTTATCACTTCCCTTCCCCTTAGTTTCTTTCAGAGCAAGTCTGCTCTTTAGCAATCAATAATTCTTTGAATCTGCCTTCTCATTAACATGGAATGCAAAGTTTGTGCTTGCTGTTTGTTTTCCTTCCACTGAGGTCTAATAGGTGTCATCATTGAATCAGCAGAGTGTGTTTAGCACCCTTTCCATTTAGAGTGACCCAATAACTGTGCATAGCTTCCATTAAAAAAACATCTGATTTCAAAAGGCTATATATTTTAAAGCAATAGACATTGAAATTTGAGGTTTATTTTAAAATACATTGTTAAATATAAAGCTTTGCAAACAAAACTTACAATATTAACAAGATATGATAGTCAGTGGATGGATGTCACTGTACCCACTGCTGTTGTTATGCTACCTTCTGGAAAGATGTAAAAAATCACAAATTTCTAACAGTACGTGTTTTGATTGTTAACGGTGAACAGCTGTGGAATTAAAGCATGCTGAAAACTGGACTATTCTTTTTGATACACCCTGTATACTGATGCTTGTTTACATGTGTGGTTAAAGTTTGTCCACTTGTGATCTGGTTGCCTTACACATGTTAGAACAAGATATGTGTTGCGCTAGCATTTTTTGCATGTTACATGTACTATGTGCACCAGCTCGCACCCATTCTTTGTTTTTATTGGCCGCACAAATGTATGGCACAGTCCGCTTCCCACACACCCTGCTTCTTCAACATATTGGCAAACTGTTTGTGCACAGCTCAAGCCATTGAAAATAATGGGTTTCAGATCCCAGCTGTGCCGCTGCCACTCAGGAGTCTGTGAGAGTTTTATTCCAGGCTATCACTGATCGTAAGACCATTACAGCAGTCGGCTTTGTATCTCTCTTTCACAACGGTAATTTTTCATGTGGGACAGCCTGCACTTCCACAGCGTACCGTACATGCAGCTTTAATAAGGTCCAAGTCATTCAAGAATCATAAAATCAAATCTTAATATAATAATAAAATAAATAGTTGAGTACATCCTGCACTCTTATTAAATACTGTATCATAATTCATACTGTAAGCTTTATCCATCAGACAGAAGCCACAAAACTGCTACTGCATATTTCCTTCAGCAGAATCATTTAAACACTTTTTAAAAATAATTCTAAGAAAAGCACCAACATAGGCTTCGAGCTACTGAGTTGAAAGTCATTCACTCGGTAGTTTTTCCCTTTTACTGTCCACTTTGGTCAGCCTTTTACCATCTTGAACTTTCACCTCACGTCAACATAATCTTACTGCACCACCATTGTCTCCTGTCATTTCAGTGGAATGGTCTCACTTGATATGCACTGCCTGTCCAGAAACCATTCCACAGTTAACTTTCTGGCCACTAACTATTGGTATGTGAAATGAATGGCTCGAGGGGCCTGAGTTGAGCCTGCCTGCCCGCACTCAGACGTGCCATCAGCCCAAACATGAGTGACCCACTTCGCTGGATGTAGAGAAGGCCTGAAGCAGACCTCAGCATATTTATAGCTTACATTAACAGGACGCATACAGCATCAGCATGTATGCAATGTGCTGTGTCACTGAAGTATTTCTTTCGGTATCCCTGAACTCTGCCGATGCTTTAATATGTCGGTCACATCTCCTAAAAATATCCCCCCTCTACTCTTTCTCACTGTCTGTGTTTCTCAGCAGACTCCTTTTACACAGAACAAGTCCTTGTCTTTAGGGAACACGGCAGTAAAGGGGTGTTACCAAAGAATTCTATTAGAAGCGGGTGTAACCCACAGCGATATGAACTGTGTTCTCAGTTCTCTCTGGTTTAAGCAGGAGGAAAAACAGCCGTCTCTGCTGCTTCATCTTGCAGTAACCTGCTTTTTTTTTTTTTTAGGCCATTTGGCTCTTAGGAGGTAACTTACAAAGGGTGGACGAGGGGTAAGTACTGATTTAAAAAATGAGAAACTTACTTGAAAGCAAATAATATGTTTCTGAAGTCAGTACAGACAGTTCAATGCTTTCAAAAACATTCAGTGTTAGAAAATAATTAGAAGAAGTATGTGGTCAAAGTTTGTATGAATCCTGAACAATGTGAAGGAGTGTGAAACTGTACAAGCTTTCTTTATCTTACTGTATCCACACATGGACATCCAGAGTTTGGCCACTAAACATGTTTTAAATGTACTATTATCCTCCCTTTGATGACAAGACAACATCAAAAACAGAAAAGCAACTTCAAATGCTTTATTTCAAACTTTTTTCCTGTCACTGACCTGAGTTCTCCTTGCGTCAACAGGAGAGGTATCCATACTGTAAAAAGAAGAGAAACTCAGGAGTGAGACTGGGGTAAAAAAAAAAAAAGGTTTGCATCTTTCTTGTGCTGATAGCTGATAGTCTGAAAGTCAACCCAAAAGTGTAATTTAAATAATATCTGAAGCGTCTGAAATGTCTGCAGATGAGTCGGAACACAAGTCAGCACAAGCTACTGGCGATGGCAGGAGTATGCTAGTGGCCAAAGTTAACACAAGGAGTTTTTTTGTGCAGCACTGTGCTAGCAACGGCCCACAAACACTTTCCGGCTGGTCACAGAATACACAATTTCCACCGAGATTGGTGGTCACTGAGTGATCTGTAGGCCTGCCTGAATCCAGTTTTTTTTTATAGGATCTTCACACTTTACCTTTAGCATTTTCAAAATACATTTTCTGTCCTGTTGTGTTCATATTACCCTGAAAATACCTAGCTACTAGCTTTGTTAGTAACCTGCAATAGCTGCTAGGTCCAAAGTCTTCCTGGTATTCAGAATTTAGTCTTTAAGTGCTGTTTATTTGTTAGTTTTTAAGAACTACCTCACCATACTATCTTTACATGCCAACAGGCTAGCTAACTAGTCCTAAATCCTTGTTTCATGGAAGCCTGTACAGTGTTTGGGTAACCACAGAGGAGACATTAGTATCTCAGAAGGTGGAGCAGATCCACTGCTCATTGAAAGATTGGTTGTTTGATCCCAGGCTGCTACAGTCTACATGTCAAAAAAAGCCTTCGGTGAGATACTGAACCCTGAGTTTCTTTGAGTGCTCAAATACAGTAGAAAAGTGCTAAATAACAGCCAGTCTGTTTATGCTTCACTGTTAACACCTGAGAGAACGGCTACACTGAAAAAAATGTAGTGTTTTTGACAGTGAATTGTATTTTTTTTTCCTTTATGGAAAATGGGACGCTGAAATGGAAAATTATGTCATACTCAAGAGACTTTCACAACACACGCCCAATTTGCTCTCCCCAGTTTCCTTTTTGCCGCTTCATTTCTCTTTATTTATTATTTGCACCTATGATTTCATAAAGCTTTCAGTGGCCTCATACTTGCCATTCAGACACAGGATGGTCTCACTGGGCCTTCAGCTAAACTGTGACTGCAGTGTAAACTGAGGCAGGGATCTGGAGTTGTTGCTCTCTTTTAAGCTGTGTTAAAAACTGACCGCTGGTAGGCCCCACCCTTATATCAGGCCATATCTTGTGGCTGCCAGAGTGAGATATTTGCTAGCTGACGTGTAGTCAGATGTTTTGGGTTGGGTCACTTGGACTTTACTATGTCTGATTTGCTCCAATCCACACATGTGCAAGCTGTTTTCAGTTACATGTTGTGTTTCAATGGCAGAAATCTTACAGACACCTCTCACCACAACCAAGTAGTGCACAGAAGAAAATGCATTTACATAAAACTCTGGTTGTTTTTGTGTTGAAAACTGAGAGAAAATGCAAGCGTCTCCTCCTGCAATGATGACGTCGGAAAAGGACCTTTATTTGATATTGGATGGGCACTGTTTGCTGCAAGCCACTATGCATACCATTGACTGCTAAACTGCTCCCTGAAGGAAGGATATAAGCTTTTGAAAGTAAACAAGACATAACAGCCTAAATTGTCTATGCAGCCAGTAGCCGTGTGCTGCATCATGCATGCTGCAAAAGCCTCCCACACACTGTGCAGCACATTTCTGCGTTCTCCAAACACCCGCAGCCTCAGGCATGTGCACTGCTAACGGCAGGAGCAGACCATCCGCACTGCAGTCGAGCCTAAAGATGCAACAATACCTCCTTTCTTTTTTGTGGCAGTAAATGTGAAGTAGTATTTGTTTTCCCCTGCTCTGGGAAGACATACATGATGATATTCTCCAGTATATTTTTAGTGTTCCCCCATCATGGATACTGTGTTCTGATAAACAAGGAAAAACTGGAAAATTCTCATTTAATGTGTATATAAGCAACCACTTTTGACCAATAACATTATGTCTTTCAATGATGTTTCACATCAAACTCATTGTAAATAAAAAAGATCATGTATTTCGAAAGACGCTCTACTACCAAAGCAGGTAACTTACAGCAGGTAGGACTGCTAGTTTTTGGCCTAAAGTGTTAAGACATCCAATTGTCAGGTTTCAGGATGTCACTCGCAACAATGAGTGACAGATCGCATTGAGCAAGATGTCTGGGTCTCTGGGCTGTGGTGCTGAGCTGTGACATCTTTTCTCTGTCACTCTCAGACAACAGCAGGCTGCTGGCCTGACTCATACTCAGTAAGATCCAAAATGGCAGCAATACAATCCTCAGTCTTTCTGCCAGGACTGCAGAACGAGTAAGAGGACCACTGCCAGGCAGCTGGCTGTTTGTCTTGATCCCTTGAATGGGCCCTTCTGGTCTGTTAACACTGGCAGATGGTTTTGGTCATATATAGGCTACACATTATGTTCAGACTGCCACACATTAACATTGCGCAGGTGCCCATCAGCTCACCAAGTCAGCTCTGACCTGTTAGGCCATGGACATGGCACCTCTGGGGCTGTCCTGTGGTGTCTAGCAATAAGAGGTTCTGTGGGTTGCAGACTGGGGACTTTGTCTCTATATGTGGAGATTGTATGTAAAACATAGCAAGGCAGATTCAGTTGATTAAAGGGAATCATATAATGATATTAATTTAATTTGTGAATGGGGAACTGAGCTACAAATCTCAACAATCAACTTTACCATCACTGATCAGGACAACTCTAATCTAGACGAAACATTTAAGTGGTTTAAAGGTGTTATTTTAATATTTAAGGATTTATTTCAAATATATCTAATAGATTAAGCAGGTTCAGTATTCTCTCTAAGGATATGTTAAAACTGAAGACTGGAATATCCAGGGATCAAACTACTGACCTTCCAATTGATAGAAAACCTGCCTGACCAGGACTTTTTTTATTCACTGACCTCTGAATTTTCTCATAGTGCTCCTTTAATTATTTTGAGCTGCTTATATATAAGCTGTGTCTAAGCAGACTTTCCTCTCTTGGCATCTCTGACACACCCCTAGCTTGGTGCCAATCATATCTCCATGACCGCTCCCAGTTTATTCAACTTAAATCATTTTGCTCTTGTCTATTCTCCGTCACTTCTGGCGTACCCCAAGATTCAGTCTTAGGCCCTCTTCTCTTCATAATTTACATCCTCCCTCTTGGTACCATTTTCCGCAAATTGGATCTTCACTTTCACTGTTTTGCTGATGACACCCGGTTATATCCCTCCTGCAGGCCTGATTTTTCCCTCCCAACTTCTTCCCTTACAGAAGGGAAGAAGTTGCCTATCTGAATTAAAATCCTGGTTCAGCTCTAATTTTCTTAAGCTCAATGAGGATAAAACTGAAATCTCCTTATTGGCACTAAATACAAACTTTTGAAGGCAAATCTTTTCTCACTCACTATTGATAACTCCACAGTTTTCCCTTCACTTCAGGTTAAGAGCCTAGGTGTCATCCTACCTAGACAGTTCACTATCCTATAAAGTGCACATCAATAATCTCACTGCCTATTTCCATCTACGCAGCATTAACAGATTACGTCCTCCTCTTTCCACCCAGTCTACATCCATTCTTGCTTTCAGTTGCTCTGCTCCCAGACTGTGGAACTCTCTACGCCCAGATATAAGAAACATTGGTTCTCTCCTCCAGCTTAAATGTAACTCAAAACCCATCTGTTCAAATCTGCATATTTACTGTGAAAACACTGTTTGTTAATTTTATCTTGCATTTTGTTTCTATTGTTCTTCATTTTGTCATCTCTATTATTTTATTGTTAAGTGTCCTTGGGTGTCCTCAAAGGTGCCTTTTAATTAAAATGTATTATTATTATTATTATTATTACTATTTAAAAAAATGTATCTGCTGAAACATCCGTTCATGATTATTGCAGATACAATCACCCAACATTTACTCTAGTCTCCCATCTGACCCATCCTTGCCGCCTCTCCTCCAGCTCTGTCCTTCTGCTTCGTTTTCTTGATTTTCTGAGTTTGAACTTTCCTTGACTCTTCTTTTGACATCCTTCTTCAGAGGAAGTTCACAAGAGGCCAGCGGCTCAGTGAAACAACTCCACCTCCTGTCCTTCATGCAATTTACAGCTTTCAGCTCAGTCCTGTGCTAAGCTGCTGAACACACAGCCACATTTAAACAGTTTCATTCAGATGCAGTTGATCGAATCACTGATTTGACTGTGTCAAAGTTAACGAGTCAACATAATCTACATTTTACTGGCTCACACTCATCGTTTTCTAAAGATGTGAATGTTTTCCATGAAGCATACAGTATTCTGTCACAGATCCACTGCTCTGCTAGCCGTGAGGAGTTCAAATAGAAGGCAGCCATGTGACAGTTGACGTGATGGATTAAAGCCTGGAGCATACGACATAAACACAGACACAGTGTCCACTGCTCTGAATCATTTATATTATGAGCTCTAATGTGCGTCGTTTTGTGTTGACACACATGATGTCTACGACAATGTGTGCGTGTGTGCATGTGTGTCAGGGAACAAACTAAAAGTCAAAAGAAGCCTGAGGATGAGACAGAGGGGGCAGCGGCTGCCAGAAAAGAGGTCTCTTAAGAAAAAAACACAGACTCTAGTGACTGCACGGCTTCAGCCAGATGACCGAGCTGCTCTCAAGTATAATAGGAAGATGTGCCTTAGGTTGAGTAAGCATTTACATATATACAACAACAACAGTAACTTCATATTTTAATTTGTGCTGTCAGCGTTAATCTCGTTAAAATGACGTTAACACCATGACCACATTAAAGTGGCAAATCTCCACGAGATTAACGCTGACACCACTAATTTTAATTTGACATTTTTCTTTTCCTGATACAAAATATTAAATTGTCTGTACATCTATATCTATATCTCTTACCTAACTCCTCATGTACTCACAATACGTGTACGTTACATGTATGTGTATATTGTTCACATTATGTATATGCTGTTTTTTTGTAAATAAAACAGTTTTTAGTGCAATGGCACTTTGGGATTTAATGAACATAAAAATAATAACATGACAACATTAACATACATGTCTGAGTTTTCATACATGAGCAAAGTGCACAAGCGCTGTAGGCCTAGCAATAAAATATCCATAGGATAGGTTTTTGCTAGTAATTAAATATATTTACAGGAGCAACAAGAACTTCACCTGAAATTAGGTAAATACTGACAACATCCTGCTTGTTTTTCAAAGCTAAGCTGTACGAATGTAATGCCTTAGCATCATGTATACATTTTAGCATGTATATTTTTTCTTATTCTATCAAAAAATGTGTCGTATTTATTGACCTCTGGCCTCCACCAAATGTTCCACTGTGCAGTCCAGCCCACATTTAGCTCTGTCTGGCTGACAGCCAGTATCAAGCATGAAATGGTTGTTGGGCAAGACAGTCTCAGCTTCTTTTAACTTGATGGAACTGAACTTGATTCAACACTTCTCTGATGATGGCTGTGAAATATTTACGGCAGGGCACGAACTGGGGTGGGCTCGGGAAAGCGAGGGGCAGGGGCATGAGTTTAAAGTTGCAGACTCAGTATCTGCTTTTGAGTGTCTGACCATGGGGAGTACTTAAAATTGTCTCTTCCCTTTACCCACAGGCTGGCACTGACAAGGACGTGCAAGGTAAGAAGTCAGCTGCACGTAGCCTCCATTAGCTTACCATCAGCTGCTATCATATTTTGTCACTTTTCATCACTATGCCTGCCTAGAAACCATTCTTTCTTGGCAGATGATAATTTACCATAACTAAGTCTTTGCCTGAAGAATAATAATCTAAGTCTGTGTGACAGAATGGAGCCGTGGCTGAGAAAGAGCTCTACTTTGAGCGTAACAACATTACTTAAATTCCTTCTGACTCTGTGTGCTACAAGAAGACCATTATCACAGCACTTTTTGGCCAATCTCCACATTGTGAACAAAGATTCTGAGGAGTTGGGAGGGACACAGAAGTAAAAAGAGTGTATCCATTATAAAAGCACATCCAGCCCTGATATGAAGCAGTAAACATCTGACACTAAGTGAAATATGTGAGTGATGTTAGTGTTTGAGATATAGATAAACAGACAGACGCATACAAAAAATCAACCCTAATAATGTTAAAGGATAAAATTGGAACTTCCTGTTATTTACTCCCATGTTGTTTCCAGGCAAATAAATAAATCATAAAGAGAAAAGAAATCAACGATTTTAAAGGCTTTTTTTAATCCCTGTTTTTGTTTCTTGTATATTTTCTAGATAAGATATAGCCTGTATTTATACTCAGCACTATGCAGAGGTCTTGCACCATCACTGGGAGGAGACACAATACCCTTAGAGTATTACAAGCTAATGTATGCCTAGACCAGTGGTGTCAAACATAAGGGCCAGGGGCCAGAATCTTTGGCTCCAATCAGGCCCATTGGACGGCTTTTCTTAAGTTTTACAGCTTTTCCCACCGATAAACTCCTCTTCTATGACTATTCATAGGACACTAAATAGGTATAAATAAGCAAGTACACTAAAACAATAAAATAACAGAAAGTTCTTTTATTGATCTAAAATCTACAGTATCTACTAAAGAAATGTATGATTTATCTGTGGATTATGGGGTTATAATTACAGGGCAGAGAAATATTCCTATAATTTTAAACATTTATTTCTTATAATTTAAGCCCATCTTTATCATGTGCAGAAACTGAGCTGTATTGTTGAAATGTTGTTCTTTTTTATTAAAAAAAAATCTAAAATAATAAATGTGTAGTTGTTCTTTACACTGACTGAAAGCGGACTTTCACTGGGCTGAACAGTGTAAAAATAATTTGACATCCCTGGCTTAGATGAACGGGAAGTTCTGTTCCAGAGTAGGAGGAAGGAAAATCTGTGCAGATCCATCTGCTGTGATGACCCCTTGGGAAGGGCGCAGTCAAAGTACCTCAATTCTCTATTTAACTGAGCTCATCCCTTAGTAAACTTATTTAAGAACTACAAGATACTATGTTTGAGCTAAGTTGTTTTTCATGTAACAATACTTTATTTATCCCAACCATTGGAATAAATAAAGTATTTCTTCTCCTTGTTCTTCTTCTTATTATTATTATTATTATATTATGAAAGGGGGTGTTGTTAGGTCACATTAGCTATTGCTCCTTCAGTTGTGGTGAGACCAAATTTGTGAACTGTCAAAACTCGTCTGTGCACATCATCTTGAAACCCCCACACTCTTTTTGTGCGCATCTAATCTTGTGAGTGAGCAGTGTAATGATAAATGGAAAACTGTTAGCAGTGTTGGGCACATGTTCATTATATCACTTTGTCTCAGTAATAACTGTGCCTATTAATATAGATAGTGCACAAATGACATCCTTAATGAAGACATTGTCAGTCAATTCAGTATTGTAGATGATCTGTGTTCATTAACATCAAATAGAATCACAAGTAAAAACACTCTGAGCGTACACTGCACTGAAAATACAGTTATTTCCATGTCTACGTTTTCTTTCTCAGGGAACAAACTGCCTGTGGGTCCCTTTTCTGTACTAATGGCGCAAAGGATGTTGAATGAAGGTGGGCAAGATGACCGATCAGGTGAGACACAGGAATGGACTATTGATGATGGAATTTTGTGAATGCTAATAAAGTGTGCATGACAAAAATGTTTACCAGTGAAAATGCCAACTGTACAAGTTGATAAACCTAAATTTTGGCAAGAGGCTATCCTCAGTTATTTGTATTTGCCTCTTCGTCCTTCCCTCGGAAATGATGACCTCTTTATTTAATGTTGCTCCGTCCAAGTTCAGCCCCCAGGATACAACTTAATGAAGGGACTGCAGTGAAAGGCCTGGGAACAATGTTATATTTAGCCTTCTTGTTATTTCTGTTGGTTAATTTTTAATGCCCACTGGAGGGCTGTGTGTAGAGAATAAGCGTGCTACATTTTGCTCATTGTGCCCCTATAATTTCTGTTGTGCCGGCTCACATTAGTAACACAAAAGCTCTGCTCCTGACCTGGCATTGACCTTAGTACTTTCTCACTTTTTGTTAACACCCAGGCCTATGAAACATTTAAAAGCAGTTTTGTTAGGAAAAATAAAGGTCTCACATGGTCTGTGAATGACTTGAAATTAGATCTATATGAATATTTAATTATAACTGGGCCTTTTGATTTGCCTCACTGTAAGCATTTTACTTTGTCTTTTGTGACTGCAGTTCTGGGAATGTTGGAGGTGCAGGTAGAGCGGGACCCCAAGACAGGTGCCACCATTGTTAGGTCAGTGGCTCCTTTGTCCACACCAGCTGGTGCTCCAAAGACTACCACTGTCTTCGACGATGGCAGGAGGAGCATCCACACTATCAGTGGGTCAGCAGATCAACCCTCGTCTAAAGAGCTCGGGCAGATCTTAAGTGTCATCGATGGGGTTGGGATGAAAGTGCTGCTGAATGAAGTCACAGTCACACCAACCAAGACAGAGACAGTAGAAGCTAGCAGAGGCTCAGAGAAAAAAGGCCTGTCGCTTTATACCCATCCCAGCACATCAAAGGAAGACTACAGGCCATTCGGCGGCTCTAGAAGCGATGATTTGAGCAGTGAGAAGTGTGTTGTAAGTGTGGGAAACACAGATGATAAAAACACGATGGCAGTGAGAGACACGTTGGAAAAAGTAGATATTGTGGAGAATCAGATGCTGGAGGAAAGTCCTGTCACGCTTGTGTTCTTGGGATACGCTGATGCTACAACAGACCAGAGTCAGAGCCAAGAGGAGCAGGAAGGCATGATCACTGTGGAACGAGTGATAATCACGGAGGATGGAGAAGAGCATGTCTTAGGACCTGAAATGCCTCCTCCACTTTATTCACCATTAGACCAGGTAGCAGAGCAAGGCACCGGGAAAGAGTCCAAAGATGAAGCAGTTCAGGTTATTCCCTCGGGTGGAAACGGAGCTGGAATCAATGTGCAGGCAGAGGAAGGTGATAAAGAGTCACATAATGCATCTCCACCAGGCATAACAGAGGGAAAAGGCAGTTCTAAGCACAGGAGCTGCCGGTGTTGCTCTGTCATGTAAGAAATGGTTGAAGAAAGACTCCCTGTATACCATGTATACACTGCTTCCTTTATATGTTGCTTTATATGAGTGGGTTTAATAGCATACTACACCATCACCCACCATTTCACCTCCCCTTGATAATAAAAATGGCATTTATATATTTGTGCAGCTTCTACAAAGCTGAGAACTGAAGTCCACTTCCACCCCCTACTGGACAGAAATAAGAACTTCAAGCAAGCTTATCCAAGAGAAAAATTCCACACTAGATGTTTAGCCATGGTTCCTGTAGAAATGGGGGAAAAAAATACGCCATCCTTTAGCATGCACATCTTAATGCTTATGGTGTCCCTCACTGTTTCTGCTATGAAAAATACTCTGCAACTGAGGGCTGAGATTTTGAGTGTTTCTGTGTTTTGATGCATCACCTTTACACGTTGAGTTTCTTAAGACAGATTCAGATTCACCATTTCTGTGTAAAAATCCAAACATTAACATTTTGAGAAATTATCTCATTCCTGCTCAGAGTTACATGAGAAACATTACACTTTTTTAATGTCTGTGCAGTTACTGTGAAGCTAAAACCAGCATCTGGTTACTGCTGCGCTCGGGCTGTAGATAACCTCGCTGACATGGCAACAAGACATTTTTATCTCTCAGTTTCTGTACTGATTAGGCAAACACTGATTAGGTGTTAATTAGAAGTTCTGGCTGGCAGATTTTTTTTTAAACTCCCTGGCAGTTGGGCTTGTTGGTTTCACATTCATGCCAAGTTAAGAAAATTGGTTTGTAGAATTTGTTTAATATTTTTCTGAGGCACTGATCGTCTCATCTAATTCTTGGGGAAAGAAAGTAAACAGTATACCGCCCACCGTCTTGAACCTGCCTTCACTATTTTAGAACAGATATATACATTAAAAATACTTCTAGAATTGTTTGAAACACTTTAAAACCACATTGGCAATACAAGAAGAACAATATGTTCTTCTTGTATATTCACTGTAGAAAATCTGGAAATCACTCTTTTTCTGACCTTTGTGTGATTTTTTTCTCACTGAATTTAGCTATAACACTGATTTATGGCAGTGGATGTTAAACAGGATATGTTGTAATATGACAGATTCCAGTTTGTGTAGTGATTGAGTTTTACAATTAGATTTGAGATGTACTCACAATTTCACACTAAAGCAGTAAACATGCAGACCTCCCATATTTGCTTCTCTATCATACACCGAAATGCATTTTTTTAAAATGGAGATTTTCCAGTACAGTTTTGTGACTTTTAAAATCATGACTTTAAATTGTGAATTTAAATTCACGTGACATCTTTGTATTTCTAAAATTTCCTTTATTTAAGGTGTTTACGTGTGTAAAAACAGTAATTACACCAACAAAAAATACTGACCACTGCTGTAGTACAATTAACCAGGTGTAAAGTTGCAGAAAAATACTTTAATTAGTTCAATTATTGTGTAATTTAATGTAAAGATCTCGTACATTTGATGCATATTTAAAAGGTTAAATATGGCAGCATACTTTCATTTATATGTTCAAAAAATGTCAAAATTCAGTTTATAAACTAGCAAATGGGTTTATCATTATGAAAATATCCAGTTAATTTGAGACTATTATGTTACATAAGCTGTTAAATGTAACTTTACATCAAAATCTTGAATAAACAACAGATCTTCACATTTAAAGAAGGTAAGCCCACATATGAAATGATTGGATTTATCTTTATTTAACACCATAAAATATAATTCCCCATTGTAATATACTGTTAATTTATGATCATAGTAGGTTTAATATGATTCTTTATAAATAACTTCACATTCAAATATGAAATATTTCACAGAAGTTTACTGTAAAAAAAAAAGCGCACTAATTACATTACTGGATTTAACTTGGAAAATTTTATTTTAAAATGGTTAACCTTGATTATGACATTATTATTATACTTAAAACAAGCTGCTGTCATATGTAATATGTTTTTTACCACATGAAATTAATGGATGGACATTTTAAAAATATGCGGTTAATTAAAGATCACATTTAAAAAAAAAAAACGCATTAAACCTTTATTTTAATAAGGTTATCAGAGTAACAGTATTTTGCCTGCAGCATTGTGGTCAAATGACAAATCATGAAATGATGAGTTTGCTTTACAATGCCATCATCAAACCATTAGAACACACTTTTTGTGTGCAACATTTAATCATCATACAAGAAACTGAACACTTTTACACAAAGGTGACTCATACCACACCGTCCTCTCCTGGTACCTCAGACACCACCAAAAAACACACACACAAAAGAGAAGTTGCAGACCTTGTGCTGCAGGCACATCACAAAAACAGCAAAAAAAGTCCACTCATACACAAATAAACTGTGTTTCAGTCCAGGTACAATATACAGCAGTGCCATATTCAAACAGAACCAGCTGAATGCTTTAAAGGAACCTGGTGCAAAAATCACACACATACAAAAAAGACCTACTTGTACACTCATAAACTATCGTGATGAATCAGATGAATGTTTCAGTCCCATGAATCAGAATTCATGGGACTGAATCGTAAAAAAAAACCCACATAAATTTGTATGAATCCATAGTCATTGGTATGCTTAGATGTCAATAACCTGGTAGCCCTGTTTTTTAGTGAATGACAGTTTGAATGGTGATAAAAACCCTTTTACAAATGTCTACATAATCAACCAACCTACAGGCTGTAAGCACATGTGAAAGAGTGCATAAATTTCATGCAAGGACCCATCCTTTCTTTGTACGACAATGAAACACCAGCATAAACTGCAGCCTCCAAAACTGGCAGATGTTCAGTCAGCATCTTACGCAACTTAAAGAAGTCCAGACGCTTTTCTTTGCAAGCTCCTTTGACTGTCAGTATAGGACGCAAACATCAACACAACACCACCAGAAGATTGTGATGTGGCCATACCCAATGGTCTGACCCACAGATAATATGAAGTACTCTGCTGCCAAAGAAGAACTTCACTACACATAAGTAAGACAGGGAATCATTAACTGTTAGCCACAGACTGTAGGGTCAGTGGGTCTGACTGTACTTCAATGTTTAATCCCGACCTTCATATCCCCTGTGGACTTTGATATCCCTGCTTGTTCAACAACAAGAAACCAAAAACTGTATCATGCATGAACTCAAATGGAGGTAAATATGACACTGCTGATAGAAAGTCCTCATTCCTGTCCCATAATGCGCTGGGAAATCAGAGGGAAAAGGCCAATACAGAACTTGCTGGAGAATCATCAGAATTTTACATTTTCTTTAACATCAAGTAATCTAGTAGAAGTGGTCTGTAAATGAATGGTTATCTTTAAAAAAAAAAAAAAAAAACCTTGTAAACAGCTCAATCAGGAAAAACTGGGACTCCAAGTCTGACATTACAAAGATTCAATTTATGAGGCCCCCTTTAATCTGATGCATGTGCTTCAACTCAGTGAACCAAAAACGGCTGTGTTAGCTTAGCTTAGCTTTACCAGCAATTTGTACTGGAATGGGAGAAATTCCTTCATGTGTTCAGCCATGGAGTAACAACCGTATATAATCATAAATAATATGGGGTCACCTTAATGGGTTCCTGAATGAAAGAAGAAATTTCATTCACGTAGACACCTTTTCTGATTTTATTAAAGAAATGGAGGGCAAATGCAAGCTACCTGAGGGAAAAAAAGAGCTGGAGTACGAAAACAAAAATATTGAAGCAACAGAAGGCAGATGTGAATAAAGTTAACAATGCACACATCCAAGCTGAAGTAATCAAGGAGCAGAAGGAATTTCAGAGTAAGAAACATCTGGAGGAGAGAAGAACAGGAGCAGAAATACAAAGATCTGGAGGAGAAGGATAAACTTTCCTGTATGCAGCCTTAAGAACCGGAGAACATAAAAAGTCAGTATGCACAGCTGGAGGAAAAAAATAAACAGCTGGAGCTCAAACACCAAATAATGGAGAAAAAGATCCATCTGGAAGTATCAGAACTGGAAACAAAGTTAAAAGATGCACACATGATCATTAAAATAGAGGATAATTGCAAGCAAAATCTGGAAAACTGGAGGAAATGCTGAAATATTTAAAGAAAAGATGCAACTGGAAAATGAGCACAAAGAAAAGGAGATCAAAAAGTTTGAGTTGGGTTGGCGATGTGTCAGGTTCTTTAATCAACTCCCCAGCTTGAATAATTCTGTTGGGTTATAGTTTGGGTAGCTTTGATCAAATATTAGTTCAAACTTTTACTATCATCCTCCATCTATCAGCCACATCCATCTATCAGCCACATCTTGCTAGCGCTGGTTCATGTTATAGCAGTCTTCATATAAAAATGTGATAAACAAAAAAAAAAAAGAAAAATGCTGTTGCCAAGCTACATTCACTGCATAATGACATTTGGGGAAAGCACTGCTTTCATCTAATTCTTGTATTTACAGCATTAAAGTAGACTTTAGCAGTTTTATCAACTAAATAAACACTGCATATCTGTAAGTTATCTACAGTATTTTTACAGTTTGTTGGAAAAAAATGTAAGAAGCAAAATGTTTCTGTTAAAAAAAAGCCTTTTTTGATGTTAATTCATGTATTTCAAAATAACAGGGAAGTTCTGTTA